TGTTTTGCTTTTTCTCTACGTAACAATCAAGGTTACGTGCATACTGGTTTATATAATAATACAACTTTCAGAAGTCACCCGTGTTTTGATAAATCGGATCAGAACAATGATAACCCTGTCAAATTAATAATCAACCTCAAACTGATTAGAACTAGGAAATCATGTGGTCATTTAACATCCTAATTTGCATTTCTTAGGGCCGTATACTAGAGTTTAGACTTTAGACTCGAATATGAGGACGTAGGAAAAGATAGAATGCATCTGAGTTGGATTTGGATGAATCAGTCAGAAATAAACATTTGTAGACAACACAATCGGCGTCGGATATGTATTGTTTATGTGAATATGAACGTAGAAATTAGACAGAACAGCGAGCGAAGAGAGGAATTTTGAGAGGGAAACACGTGGGCTCTCATAGCTAGGGTAAAGATTTTTGACTTCTCTTGGATGTGTTTTTAAGCTCTAACACCAGAGTAGGTAATTTTCTACATTTCCACCAAAAGTTTTAGGGTTTGATAGAATAATTTGGGGTTTGAGTCACACCACTAATGAGCCATATGATACATCTTCGTTTTTAGGTTCCATGTACAAAGCTCATTCTAGTTTAAACTTGGTTACCAATATCAAAATAAAATGTATCATAAATAAAACTATTTAATTATTATTTTTGAGCAGTATATCTAAAATATACAAATTAAACAAATTAAACCCATATTTTATAGTCATATACTGATTATGCTATATAATATATTTAGAGAAAGAGAAGACAAATAATGAGTGTAGAAGTCAATCCCCCCCCCCAAAAGGAAAAGAAACTCTGCATATAATTTGATTTATGGTCATTTGATTTTCAGATGTATGATTATTAAAAAGCTAATTAAATATTGTATAACACAACCAGGGACTTCTAGTTCATAAAGAGTCTGGCCGGTTCTCGGGCGGCAGAATTGAAAAAAGAAAAAAAAAATCTACAGTTTACGAGCTTAGATTTTGCTATAAAAGGAGGACTAGCTAATCTCTCTCGCACAACACATCCACACTTGCAACAATAATTAAAATCAGAGTGCTCTCAAAATGAAAGTAGCGTTGGTAATGGGACCTGCCAGCTTGAGCCTTTTCTTAGTGGCTTCTGCCATTTCTGGAACATCTCATATGGAGGACAAAAAGAATACTATACATCCATCTTATAAATAAAATCAGGGATAATGGCGAGCACATTTCATGCTCATTAAAAAGATCAGCATGAATTCTCATCTTAATCTGCACCATTCAAATTAATTTTGGATGGCTTGGATTTAATTTAAATAGTTTTGATAGAGAATATTAGCGTCGTGCAATCTATATAGCTAACCCTATAGTGGAATAAAGTTTATAGTTGTTGTTGATTATATTTTAAATATTTTTTTATTGATATAGAATTTAAGATCAAGCTGATCTTATAACTGACACTTTTTAAAAAAATAAATTTATTATTAACAAAATTAAAAATTTGAAATTTGAAATCTACACTGGTCAAATCATATTTTAAGTGGTCAAAATTTTATTATAGTGATTAGCATCAAACGAAAATTGAGGATAATGACTTTAGATTTGTAATTGCAATCCATTTGAATTATCGGTGATGAGATGAAATTGATTTTGAATATTTGAGTACAACAATAAATTCTAAGGAGAATAGATCGATTTTAAGTAGAAGCTTGTGGATGGCTTGTTAGTACAAAATCATGATTTTTGGTTGAAAATAGATTTTAAAATCTTAAACAGCCACTTTCAGTTTCAGCCAAGTGCCAGCTGACTGCCTTCGTTTTTGGGGGGGGGGGATAAAATTTGAAAAAAAGAAAAGTAGGGAAGAATACACAGTACTGTTTTTCTGGGCTTATGAAGATTAACTCATAAATGCAAATTATATCGAAGCCCAGTGTTTTATCGGACCAGTACTCTATTTTGCCACCCAAATTACAATCCATAGTCCATACAAGCACACGCTTCAGTCTTCATGCCTCCATGCGGGTTTATTTAACCCGAACCATCATACGGACAGTATGTGTTGATTGTAATTTGGATTAGTACGCAGCTAGTCTTACATCATCTTGTGGTTTTTGTTTAAGCGTCCATTAATACAATGAACAGTGATTTGATTCATTATCTATTAACAAAGTCAACTGTACTGTGTTTAATGGAATGCGGATTTATAAAATTTTAAAAGGAAATTTTAAGAAAATCCGTCATTGAAAATATTATTAGTTATAATGACTTAAATTAGAGCATCGAATATGTACACAATTTTACAGAATACTTTCACTTTCTGTGTACAAAAATTTACGAGGTCATTTTCTTTAATTTTTAATAGAAGGCTTTTTCCCAAATTTCTCAAAATTACAATTATTATCTTTACTTTTAAATATAAAATCTATTTTGTAGTGCAAATTTGAATTGTAAAGTCGGGGAGGCGTTACTTGTTTTGGTCTATGTTAAGATAATTAAAGGATAACAGTTAACTTATGGAATATTTTGGTAATGATAATCAGTGAACAAGGAAGCACATATGGGCTTTATCTAATTGCCAGCTGCAATGCAAATTTGAGCTTATTATCATTATGAAACTCATAAATGCAAAGTCATTTATTAATGGTGGAAAAAAAAAAGTTCATTTCTTAAATATGATATATCCAAACCCAATATTTAATTTGGGAAAATCTCTCATTAAAAAATTTAGTGAGAAACTGAGAATGACTGGAATCAAAATATTGATACTTATTGCGTACAAAATCTACAGAATACTAGTATTTTTTATATATAAAAATTTATCATATCTCTTTTTATCAATAAAACTTTTAATGAGGGACTTTTCTTCAATTTTCTCAAATCAAAATACTTTAGAACTATCAACTACATGTTTTGGTCTGTGCAAGATAATTAAAGATCACTTATAGATAACATTTAACTTATTGAGTATTACCTCTAGTCCTTAATATAAAAGCTCATTTGATTTTTATTTTGATTATAAATGTAAGACTCTAATCTATTATGTCTCTCATATTTATCTTTTTTCTCTCCTCAAAACAGTCATTGTAATAATGGAAGTTTTAACTAATACACTTGATTAGCAGTGATATTTTAAGAAAGACCACCTGTTTATTACAAGTAACTAACTTATCAATTTTTTTAATTTACTCAAATTAGTCAACCAACTCTTATATTAAGGACTGGAGGTAGCATTTTGGTAATGATAATCGGTGAACAAGGAAGCATATATAGGCTATTTCTAAATGCCAGGAGCGATGCTACTTTGTGCTTATTATCACTATGAAACTCAAATGCAAATTCATTTCTTAAATAATAATTCTCCGGTTATTAATATAAGATCTAATTATAGAATTGGTTTTGGTCTTAAAGTAAGACATATTTGTTATATTTATTAATTTTTTTCAAATCATCCATATTAATACTCCATCAATCATAACTGAATAGGAGAGGGAGGGAGGGAGGATATTAAAGAAGATTGTTAAGATATTTTAGGAAAAATATGTCATATTTATTATAATTAACTAATTTACATAACTTTCGTAATCTAATCAAATTAGTTAAAAAAAATTTACATTAAGAACGGAGAAGTATGATTTATCCAAACCCAATATTTTATTTTATCCGATTAGTATTACGTTTTGTTGCTCAAATTACAATACAAACATATTAGCATACTCTTAAAGTCTTCATGGATTTGTTTGACCCGCATCACCATACCGATATTGTTGACTCGATCAATGAATTAAGTGGATAAGTTCAAGACCACAGGGCCCTAGAGTAATAAAGACTGGCATAATATATTTTATTATTCTTATAATATCATATAGTCCCTTTTCTACCAGAAAATTTACTCCAATACGCATTTTTTCTGTTAATTGCCCATCTTTCATGAAACCTTATTCAATGAATTTCCATAGATTTTGCGTCAAAGCTTTGGACTCTTATTGCGTAAACTGTGGCTCGTATATATGCGCATGGTGTAGAACGTACCCATAGAATATATACGTTCCCAAGTCTAGTTTTTCATTTGAAATAAAAAATCAACCTCCGTTCCCCAAGGCGACTTGAAGAATCAGGCGACGAACGAATTTATTTTGGCATATTAAGTTTTTTTGGTCGTAAAGTCATAAACTAGGTCCATCTATACTCTTTTTTTTTTTTTTTTTTAAACCAGCTAGCCGCTTTGACTGAGTCGCATTTTCGTGCACTTGCCTGAACCCTTCGATCTCTATACACAAAAATAAGCACAATGAACCCTTTTTAAGAATAAAAGGCTAAGGCAAGAACCATGAAGAGAAAGACCAATCAAGACAAAACATATTCATAATTAATATATATAATATTAAAATCTCATTTTTATAGTTTGGGTGTGTGAAGGGAAAAACATGATGGCAACAGAAATGAGATATATGTTAGCCGAGTCGTGAGACAATGAAATTCTTCGACGTAAAATATATATATACACACATACATTTATATATATATATATATTATATGATCGAACATACAGAAAATTCATTTTCCATGCTTATATCTAATCAATAATTTGATTAATCCATTTTTCTCAAATTCTTACGATCCGAACCACCACGTTAAATACCATATGTTGCCTCGGGACGTCGACGATTTAGTCAAAATTATCGTTACACACACACACTCCTAATGATCTGGTCAGCCGTAATTAATGTCGGGTAATTAATGCAGCAAAGTCCTTCTGTTACTTGTGCAAACGGGAGACGTACTCGCTATAAACTAAATGCAAATAATGAATTGAATTGCCAGAATTTTCTTTGTGAAAAATCAAAGACATGGCGTCATGGCTCTAGATATAGAGTCTGCCGGAGCCGGAGAAACGTGTGAAGACCGTCACCTCTTCTCTGAAAAATGTAATACTAATTTAAGGGCTAAAATTTTGCTATAAAAGGAGCAATATATCCCCCCCGACTTGAACGCACACAAAACATCTAATTATATTTCGCACTCCCAACAAATTTTGGTGTTCGAAGAAATGACTCTAAGCATGAAAGCAGTGCTAGTCATGGGGCTTGCCATCTTGAGCCTTTTCTCAGTGGCTTCTGCTATTTCTGGAACTGCCACCTTTTACACTGTCTATGTTCGTAAGTATCCCCTTCTCTACTGCATATGTATGCTTTACTTATTATTCAAGCTTCTTCGATTGCTTCCATATTAGTCTCATCAGTTAAACTATATAGGATCTCATTATATATATGCTTCCTTGAAAAGTACTACACTTGTACTAATATGTCCGTCAGACACACACACGTGTGGAGTACGTCTCATATATCATAAGAAAAATTCCAGAAAAAGCCCTTGGAATATAGAAAATTTCAGATTGGATCCTGGAATTTTAAAAATGACAGAAAGGGTTAATGATGACCCAATCTGTCCTGTGCAAAATCAAGAGGAATTGACAACTTTGTCCTCATTTGTATTCACTACAATGATTTAAGGAATTACTATAAGGGTTTAGGCGTTACCTAGATTTGTGTAGAGAATAACTACTCACTTTTGTTATTAACTACAACGCACCTGACTACGAAAAAGTGAGTAGTTATTCTCTACACAAATCTAGGTAACGCCTAAACCCTTATAGTGATTCCTTAAATCATTGTAGTGAATACAAATGAGGGCAAAGTTGTCAATTCTTCTTGATTTTGCAAATGACAAATTAGGTCATTGACCCTTTCTGTCATTTTCAAAATTCCAGGATCCAATCTGGAATTTCCTATATTCCAAGGGTTTTTTTGGGATTTTCCCTATATCATATCGTTTGAGTATTCGATCAACAAGCTCCTTGGTTCTTTTTAGAGAAGAGCAGGGAGATTAAAAAAGATACTACCTTCGGTCTTTAATATAAGAGCTAGTTGACTAATTTGAGTAGATTAAAGAAACTAGCTAAGTTATTTATTTGTAATAAATAGGTATTGTCTTTTTTAAAATATCTTTGCTAATCAAGTGTATTGGCTAAAATTATCATTATTACAAGGACTACCTTGAAAAAAATAGATGAATATGAGAGATAAAGTGAATTAGGGTTTTATATTTATGACCAAAATAAAAGTCAAACAAACTCTTATATTACCTCCGGTTCTTAATATAAGATCTCGTTTGACTTTTATTTTTGTCCTAAATATAAGACTCAAATCCACTTTGTCTTTCATTGTTATGTATTTTTTTCTAAGATAGTCCTTCTAACAATGGTAGTTCTAGCTAATACACTTGATTAGTAAGGATATTTTAAGAAAGACAACACCTATTTATTACAATTAATTAACTTAACTTCTTTTTTTAATCTCCTCAAATTAGTCAATTAGTTCCTATAATTAGGACTGAAGGTAGTATTAAAGACTGGAGGTGGTATATAATAATATAACAAAGCCTTTATAAATACTATTGAGACGGTTTGACCCAATTCACACTAAGCAACTCTTAAGTTTTACTCAAGTAGGAGCTTACGTGTTCAACTTTGAGTGAGTATATGTTGGGCCCTTCCGTTAGATGAAGGATGATACAAAAGAATAAAACATGGTTTCGGTTAGTCTCGGCATTGAGAGAAATTAATTGGCATGGTGTGAATGGCTATGATTGGCAGCCTCGGCATGTTATGGATTTCAAGATCAAGGGACTATGATCGCAGCAGCAAGCGACCCAATCTATAACAATGGAGCTGCATGTGGAAGAATGTACAGAGTGAGGTGCACGGGTGGCACCAACAGTGTGCCTAATCCTTGCAAGGCCGGAACGGTCACCGTCAAGGTTGTCGACCGCTGCCCCTCGCCGGGATGCCGAGCAACCTTGGACCTCTCTCGGGAAGCTTTCTCTCGTATTGCTAACCCTGACGCTGGAAAAGTCAACATTGACTATGTCCCGTAAGTCAATAATTATTCTCTATTTCCATTACATTACTGTTGGGATTTTACTTTCGTTAGTTTTCCGATTTTATTACTACTGACTTTTCCGTGGTGTGTTTTTTCAGGGTCTGATGCTTCTGGAAGAGAATAATCAAGAAAAATAATGATATATAAGAATAATCAATAACACGTACGTTATATAGATGTACGTACTTCGTTTCTGTCCTTACGTTTCAGTAAAAGTATGGTAATTGTTATTTCTGTTTGGTCAGGCTTCTAGCTATATATGTGTATGAAAAAGGAGAAGTAATAAAACCCATTTCTATAATCTCAATGTCTCTAAAAGGGATTAATTATTGATTATCAATCAAAACATATCCTAAATACATTACACCAAATATTAAACAACCAACAACTCTTTTCTTCCTTCTAGTGATACAAAATATAATGAACAAAGGGAATAGTCACTTTTATGATCGAAAATTAAATGTGCTTGTTCTCTTTAACTGAAGTTCTAAAGAAGGGAGACTTTCAATAAACTCTCTTAGTAGCCAATTAATATCAATTAACCCTAAAAAATTCTGAAATTACACTGCACCCTTAAACAAATTTTTTGTGTGAGAAGACAAAAATACCCTTATTTTATTTGAGTTGTGAATCTCTGAATTTGTATTGCAAATAGCCTGATCTGAGTTGCAAATCCTTGCAAATTTTATGAGTGGATAAATGAACAACTTAAATTTGACAATTTACGATAAGAATTTGATGGTTTACAACAAGAATTTGAAGATGTGCAACTCAAACTCGACAATTTGCAACTCAAATAAAGTAGGGGTATTTTTGTCTCACACAAAAATTTTTGGTTAAAGAGATACAGTGAAGTTTTAGAGTGTTTTGGAAATTGACTGATATAAATTGGTTATTGAGGAGCTTTACTGAAATTTTCACCTTTTTTCTTTATTTTTTAGTTTAGACAATCCAAACCTTTTAACCAATACTCCCCCTTAATGTTAATTATATCTATTATATGTACATTAGTTGCTCATTATATTTGATAATATCAATGATTATTAATGCCTTTTCAATATGTATATAGAAGTTTACGAGATTTGCTTCCAATTCAAATGAAGGAAAAAAAATCTTCTAAATTTCACTACTACAGAAAACAACTTTCATGATGCTAATTTATGGTGGTTATTTAAAAAATGTCTTTTCATAGATACAAAAAATCAGTTATAGAACCTAAATCAATTTTAATATAATGGTTTAATGCGCTAAAAATAAATTTCTCGTGAAGTTAAAAGCTCAATTCCCCTCATAACTAGAACAAGTTACTTTCCTAATTATCATTTATAATTACAAAATAAAAAGGGTAAATTTGTATCTTTATAATTTAAAAGGTGATATATTTATTTGAATAATAAAATTTTGACTTCCTGAAAGTTTCTTTAAAAAAATTACACAAGCATTCAGTTATAAATTTTTTGAAAAGTTAACTTCTCTTACAAAATAAGTTAATTCACTTGCTGGTGGCGCAATTACTACGTGTTTGGAATTGTGCAGTTGTAGAGTTGGGGAGCATGCCAACCTCTGACGTTAATTTCGCAGCCCTACAGCTAGGGTGCCATTGTAAGGATACTCTTCGAATTTTCCATGTATATTAATGACATGCACAAAAGTATCCCTCTAGGATCTAATTGAGAAATTAATATTGGTTTTATATGTAAGATCTATTTTATATCTTTATCAATTTTATTTTATATTTTTATCAATTTTTTTCAAATTAATCATATGATATTCTCCAAACAATAATCAAGTAAGAGAATAAATGAAGGAATTAAGAAAGATGCTTAGAATATTTTAAAAAAACATATAATATTAACTAAATTAACTACTATATTTAATTTATTCAAATTAGTTAATAAAGTCTTACATTAAGGAGTAGAAGAGTATAACTACAAAGAATCTAAAGTACATGATTAAAAATAATAGAGTTTTTTTTCCCGATCTCGCGTCAGATTAGCAACTAGTATTAATTTAGACGAGTTTATTTCTATCGACAATAATTAGATTAGAGCGTTTTGTCCTCATACATTTGATGACATTAATTTGTAATTTTGCCTTCTCTACAACGTTATTAAAACCCATCCTACGGTCAGAGTAAAAAAAAACATAATAATCACTAGATGTTGTTTTGCAATTTCTGAATTGGCCGGGCGCTTTGGACGCACGCCGGCCACCCAAATTAATTTCAATTCCTAGCCCTAAAATTCTACCAGGACATTGTTTTGCCTTTTCTCCACGTAACAATGAAGGTTACGTGCATACTGGTTCATATAATAATAAAACTTTCAGAAGTCACCCGTGTTTGATAAATTGGATCAGAACAATTATAACCCTGTCAAATTAATCAGCCTCAAACTGACTAGAACTAGTAAAACGTGTGGTCTTTTAACATCCTAGTTTTCATTGCTAGGACTTAGATAACAAACGGTTAGTATGAAAGATGAGTTAGGTTAAGATTAAGTTTAACTGAGGTGAAAATAACATAAAATTACCAAAAAATATCTTGGGGCCTTATACTAGAGTTTACACTTTAGAGTCGAATATGAGGACGCAGGAAAAGATAGAATGCATCTGAGTTGGATCAGGACGAAGGAGTCAGAAATAAACATAGGTAGACAACACAATCTGCGTCGGATATGCATTATTTAAGTGAATATGAACGTAGAAATTAGACAGAACAGCGAGAGGAGAGGAATTTTGAGGGAGAAACACGTGGGCGCTCATATCTAGGGTAAAAAATTTTGACTTCTCTTGGATATGTTTTTTCTACATTCTACCAAAAGTTTAGGGTTTGATAGAATAATTTGGGGTTTAAGTCACACCACTAATGAGCCATATGATGATGCATCTTGGTTTTTAGGCTCCATGTACAAAGCTCATTCTAGTGTAAATTTGATTACCATTGTCAATATAAAACGTATCATAAGTAAACTATCTAGTTACTCCTCTAATCCTAAATATTGTATAAGGATCTTATATTAGGACCAGATGAGTATTATTTTTGAAAAATATATCTACAATATACAAATTAAACAAATTAAACCCATAGTTTATAGTCATATACTGATTATTCTATATAATATATTTAGAGAAAGAGAAGACAAATAATGAGTGTAGAAGGCAATCCCCAAAAAAAAAAGAAAGAGAAACTTTGCATATAATTTCATTTATGGTCATTTGATTTTCAGATGTATGATTATTAAAGAGTTAATTAAATATTGTATAATACAACAAGGGACTTCTAGTTCATAAAGAGTCTGGCCGGTACTCGGTGGAAAAATTAAAAAAGAAAAAAAAAAAATTTACAGTTTACGAGCCAAGATATTGCTATCAAAGGAGGACCAGCTAATCCCTCTCGCACAACACATTCACACTTGCAACAATAATTAAGATCAGAGTACGTAATGGCTCTCAAAATGATAGCAGTGTTGGCAATGGGACTCGCCATCTTGAGCCTTTTCTCAGTGGCTTCTGCCATTTCTGGAACTGCCACCTTTTACACTGTCTATGTTCGTAAGTATCTCATATTCGTCACGTTGCCTTCTATTATTCTGCTTCATCACAGCATTCTTGCACATTACCATTTTTGCACATTGTGAAGAACTCAGTCTCGCCCTCTAGATCTATCAGGGAAGGGCATAAAGTAGAGTTACCTTCCTTTAATAACTTTCTCACTGATCACCTCACACGGTGATTGATTTAGAGATGATAAAAAAAAGTTGAGGTTGGTGTGATTATTTGAAGCTTCTGCATGCAATGGATTTCAAAACGATGGAGTTATGACCGCCGCGGCGAGCGACTCTCTCTGGGACAACGGAGCTGCATGTGGAAGAAAGTACAGAGTGAGGTGCGCCAGTGGTACCAACCAAGGCGTGGCTAACCCTTGCCGGGGTGGAGCCGTCACAGTCAAGATTGTCGATCGCTGCCCTCCTCCGGCATGCAGAGGAACCATCGATCTCTCCCGTGAAGCTTTCTCTGCCATCGCCGACCCCAAAGAAGGAAAAATCAACATTGAATACACCCAGTAAGTAAATTCAATTCCCACTTCTTCAATACATCACTGTTGTTATTTTGGTTTACTCCGATTTCTTTTCATTTGTTTGCTGCTGATTTCATTGTTTGATGTGTTCAATTTTCAGGGTATGAAGCTTCCGGGAGATAATTCAAGATTTATCTAGGAGCATGCGGAGTTAATGGTCAATAAAACGTACATCAAATGTACGTGATGGAGAATAGAATTCATTTTCCATGAGTACTATGTGTCAAGTGTACTTTGATCTGTGTTTAACGATTTAATTAATAAATTATCTGTTGTTCTCAAACTGATCAAATTTAATTTCTTTCTCTTGCTTCATACAAAACAACACTGAAGAACAATGAAAAAGGAAGCCGAAAGTTATAATATTAAGGGGGTCAGAAGTTTGTAATTAAAAAAAGGAAATGGAAATTCTGATGGTCATAGGGAAACTATTGGACCTCAACTTCGAAGAACATGATGGATGACAGTAATTAAAAACGAAGGGCCAACACCTTCTATTGCCAATTAATATAAGTCTGAAGTTGGATTGTGTATGTATATCTCTTGGTTGACCCAAAAGAGAAAAAACAAAGACAAGTGTGTGTGTGTGTGTGTGTGTGTGTGTGTTGAGGGTTAATACTTCTGTGGCACTTTGGATATGTAACTAACAGTCCTACATTGGAGTTCTTGACTAATTAAAGACCGAGAGCAAAGGGTAATTAACGAAACTGCGTTGAAGCTTCTGCCTTTGGGGTGCTTTGGCTGTAACTTTGGTTGTAACTAATAACAGTTCTATACACTTTGGTCGTAACTAAGCTAATTTAATTTGAATGTATTCATTGTAAAATCACAAGCATTTAAAAATTCTATTTTAATATAATAGACTGAGCCATTTGAAATTATCGCAATTCGACATCGTGATTTGTCTTTTCCATATCTTAAGATATTTTTCTGAGATTTTCTCTATTTTTATGTATGTTAGATTCTCAATCTAATAATTACTAGTGACTTCTTTCTGGGGTATTGTCAGCGTCATGCATGCTTGTAGAATAGGACATATAATCAGGTCGTACCAAGGGCAATTAAGGAGCATATTGTGGAGCTGATATGGTAATAAAATGTTTGACAACCACAACTAATTAATAAATAGATAAATAACACGTACGTCATGAGATGTGCATCATGGAAAGTAATAGCTTCATTTTGTTCCTTGCTCCAAGCACAATATGGAGCTTTTTAATTTCTGTTCATATACGTTTCAGTAGAATTATA